ATTAACCACCCCTCTACACATTTAAAAGCCGTTTAAAGAAAATTATTTTTTCACCAAAATTTTTCAGGAATAAAATATTCACTTCGTCTGCTTCATTACAAAAAATCCAGTTCGAATTGTGTCATGGATTGGCGGATGAATTTTTCCAGAAGATTTTTTGTTTGGTTTAACTTTTATGTGTGTTTACTAATCACAAAAAGATGATTACTAACCGTTTGGTGGGACATGACATCAAATGTTGTCGATTCTTTTGTACGACAGCGAATTTTGGCGAGTGCCTCCGAATTCACTCGAGCTTTTCCATCAAAAAATACCTTTCATTGTATAAAAAGGCGTCCAATATGCTAAAATTAAAAATTATTAAACAATTAAAGTTTTACTTTATCTTATGGGGGCAGGAGGTTCAAATTTTGTCATTTAGGTTTGAGATTATTTTTTCTTGTCGAGCCAAAATGACGAAATAAATGAATGAAGACACAGAAATGACATTTTCTATATTGTTTCTTCCAATTAATTTGTTTAAAATTTTTGACGTAATAAAACATTTCATATATTTCACAATATATTTCGTCCAATTATTGAATTTCTCTGTAAAAACCGTCAAAAGCTTAAACGCCATTTGCTATTTTTTCAGCGTCACAATGCAACCGGATGTGCAGTTATTTGCGAAGTGGTCGTTAGAATCGAAGGTAGGAGGGCGATTGCTCGTCCCTTCTTCCGTTGAAGCCAAGAAAGGTTGATTCTCAATCATCCAATCGAGTCAGCAGCAAGCAGCAAGCGAAAAGCACTTGAGGCATCGCGAAAAATCAATAATGGCGATAGAGTTGAAGGCAGCGAAGGAATTTGAAGTAGGAAAGCAGTTGCAAAGCAAAGCTTGGCAGAAGATGACGCCACCATAGAAATTAGTTGCCGCATCGTTCTTGTCAGTTGAACTCGAATGGCGCCAACCGGAAATGATTCGCTCGCAGATCTGAGTTGGTTGATGCGATTTAGTTGGAGAGAGAAGGAATAATGTAAAGCGTTTGACAAAACTATACACGTCTCGGTATTTATTAAGCTTAGGTTAGTCTGGCACAAGGCTCCACTCATACAGTGCTTAGAATTATATAGAATTTCAAGGCAAAGAGAAAATCAGGGAAATCTATAGACAACAGGGAGACAGACAGAAAGGTAACAGACAGACATGTAATCATATTGATATACAAACACTGGCGAGTGAGCACACACACACACATACATGTATATACATACACACACAGAGTGTGATGGATAAATTGTCGTCTAAATTACGCAAAAATAAAAATAACACCTGCACCTTATTTTAACAGATACATTTACCAAAATTAAACAAAAGTATCTTGAAATACTAAAGAGTAAATTTATTCACTAAAATCGCCATTGGCTTCAACCGCGGCATCCAGATGACTTTGGAATCTCTTCTGGACGATCTCCTTCTTTCATCTTTGGTGTTGCTAGGAGTTTTGTTGTTCTCTCGCTTAACTGCGCCACACACCCCAGACTGCACCCCTAGCCACGATGGGGTTGCAGGCTAGGGAGGCGGCTATATTTAAGGGATGATGTTGCAAAAATTTCTGACAGCCATGACTGGGTTCTCCTGCTTGTGTAACGTGGTGCAGAGTCCTGTTCCCAGATATAAGGTCTTCTAACAGGCACTCTCTTGACCCAGGGCACCACTACCTCCTTAATGTACTTGATGTAGGCCTCTGTGTTGAGTCTGAGACCCTCACCAACAAATTTGGGTGTTCTTTTCTTATCAAAACGATCAGAGTGAGTTTTCCGAGTTTTCATACCTTCATAATAACCATTAGACTCATCCAGCTCTTTTTGAATGTCCTGCACTCTCCTCAGATTGACACCCAAACGGTCTGAAATGTTCGTATTATAGCTTCAGGCAGTATAGCATGGCGTTTCCAAATTCCTCGTGGTGTGAATTGCGTCATGTTGCTCTTTTTTTACAGACGATGCCCACCATCCCTATTATATTGTGCAATCGATAAAATCAAAAACAAACAACGCGCATGCGCGAAATAAAAAAATATAAAATGGCGACAATTTATCAATTTCATTATATATATATATATAGATAGAAAGAAAGAAAGAAAGAAAGAAAGAAAGAGAAGGAGAGAGAGTTACCTCCACGGAAACACGATTCCTAAGGTTTGAAATGAATTTCAAAAAATGAAAAATCTTTCTTGAAACTTATCTTAGTTTTAATTTCAAGCTAATAGATTAATTGCAATAGGCAAAAAACTTTGCTCTATTTCAAAACTAATTTAAATTGGCTGGAAGTAGATTTTTTTAAATCACTACCTATAAAATCACTGAATTAAATAGTTTCAGCATCCTAGGAGTTAATTAAACGAAAGAATGTATGAAACTTGCTAATTATTAATTCCAAAGGACAACAACACGCTCTTGAACCATCACGTATATTTTGACTCCCAATATTAGTAATATTTATTTTGAAACCGTACTAAATTATTTGGAAAATCAAGTGAACCTCTCGTGGATATATGGCGGGTAATATCTTAAATTTTATTTGAATATATAATTAACTACTATGATTCATTTTAAAGTATTTAAAAATTTGAAATCTTTTGAAGTGTCTAGGTTAAATAATGCGAATCAACAATGAACTGGTGTTTAATCATTTTTCGATCAAAAATTCAACCAGTAAAATCTGTCGCACACTAGCGGATATGGAATTCAATCAGATAAAAATGTACAGGGTGGTCCGAAAGTCTTGTCACCTCTACCTCTATTCCAAACTGATCCTGGTTATTTATTTCTTTACTATTATTTTTTTTAAAATTAATTTTAATTACTTTTTATCGCAATTACCATTCGCCATTCTCCGGATTTTAGTAAACTGCATAGAATAAGACCTCGGCGAGTCCGAGTGTCTTGCCAAGAGTTTTTTTTTTTTTATTTCCTAATGACCGGAGTCTGATGCAACTAAAATTGAGATTAAAGAAGTAAGAGTCAAATGGCTGACAAACAACGGCGTACCTAGCATTTATTCCGCCCGGGGTCAGTCGAAGAATTTCTCCCCACCCATTAAGCAACATTCCAAAAGAAAGGTTACAATGTAATTGGTTTTGATTAAAGAAAAATAAACAAAATAATATGTAAAATTATGTTTAAAAATAATTAAAAATAACAAAGAACTTTTTAATAAATTTAGGATTAAATGTCATTAGTTAAGAATATCATAGAGGCTATAAAAACTCCCCTGTCAGTCACTGACTCGTAACCTCAGAGTAAATGACCATTGTATTACTTAACCAAAAAGTGATGTTAGTTAAAAATGGCACAAATGGAAGGAGGGATAAAATAGGACAGCTAGTTTTGCATGCGACTTCATTATACTATTTACATGGGGTGCTGAATTAATTTCAACTCGGAATTAATTTCCACGCGAAATTAATTTCAAATTAGTTCCGAGTTGAAATTAGTTCCGAGTTGAAATTAGTTCTGCCACTCATTTACACTATTTGCATCATTCGGACTATTGTCCTCGTCCTTATTGCCATATTCACAACGTTACCGCCTTCTTTAGGGGATATACGTTGGAATTTCTGACCAAACCCATTATTTAGTCCACAGAGGTAGATTATACTATTACACTGAAATGCACCCTCTAAAAACTTATCGCCCTTCCCGCTCCCCTCTAGGATAACCAGTGTCGACAAGGATTCAAGTATTCAAAAATAATATTAGTATGATCCCTGATAAATTGACAGTATCGATATTAGCAAGGTTGCTGGCGTGTAGGTGGTGCCTCCTGCTTGAATATCAACCTAAGAATTCCATCAAAAGTTTTAATTACATTTTTTTTTAAGTCAAAGTATCAACATCACCACCACTACCATCATCCCCAGTCGAAACTAAGTAAATTTGGAGCAAACAATATTCGTTGTAAAAAAGGCGTTATTTTTTATATTTTGAAGATTTGTTGCTTTGTTTTGTTTGTTTTTTTGTTTTTTTTCCATTGAATGTTTTTGACGAATAAGAATTTTTAAAATCCTTAATGACGACACTTATCGAGGAAAATCTAAACCAGCAGAATCCACACTGCGTCTCTCGTGCAAGCAGGGGCCACATCAGCTTGTTTTTAACGAAAACTGGAAGAGAAGACTGAAAAAAAGCAGTGACAAAGATTTACAGAAAAATGGCATATCAATACAAATAAGGTTCAAAATATTGTTCGATCTCAGTCTGCTAATGTGTCCATAGCTAACTAGATAGATAGATAGATAGATAGATAGATAGTTTCGGATAACGATATATATATATATATATATATATATATATATATATATATATATATATATATATATATATATATATATATATATTATATCAAGAACAATTTTAGGAGAAAGAAGTATGACAAAGAGGAAAGTTTTTTCGTGTGACGCGTTTCGTACTTCCGACGAAGTCCTAAAAGACGAAACGCGTCACACAAAAACTTTTTACACTTTATCATATTTCTTTCCCCTGAACAGTGTGTGTGTGTGTGTGTGTGTGTGTGTGTGTGATAGATAGATAGATAGATAGATAGATAGATAGATAGATAGATAGATAGATAGATAGATAGATACCCGATGATAATAATGTCACTAACTGATATGTTCCTTCTATTTTCACTCTCCACTGCAAGTGAACAATAAAAAAAGCTTTCGAGGGGACGTCTGGTGGGTGAGCCTTAACGCAGAAGGCGTGGCTGGAGTAAATGACCGCTTTTTCTGTCTGGTTTTCAGATGATCAGAATATAATGACAGGCAGCGGCGAGAGGGTGCAGGGGATCGGTGTTTGATGTGGAGGGGGGAAGACTGAGAATATGGAACAAAAACTGTGGTAGAGAAGAGGTTGGGGAATAGATTTCAACAAAGAAAACTAAGAGGTTGAGGTTTCGGCGATTGGCGCCGATGAGTCGGCTTCGATCACGTATGTTAAATCTTAGCTAATGTGTGCAAATGCCCTGGAGATACGGGCTTATCTTCCAGGCCCAAATTCCCAACTCTTCGGACGAGGGAGCCTCGTGTCAACCGGCTCCTATTCTTGTAAAATCTGCGAATGCTGACCTTTGGCACCAGAAGAAAACGCGCAACTTTTTCTGACACCGATCTGTCTTTCACTTTTGAGACAAATATTATAACCACTGATTCAGTAAATAGGGAACACCTAGCTATGAACAGATTCACTATACTATCACAATGGCTTATGAGACTGACTTGCAAACTCTATGGAAGAGGTGCTATTTATGAAATAACTGACATAGTTCTACTCAATAGGAAAATACTTGATGAGGATCGAACTTAAAACATTAGATAATGGTCTTCGAGATAAGCTTGTTACACAATTGGGTCGTGATTTTGATCATTAATGAACGTCTACCCTACTGCGTTCAGACACACCCACCAGACGTTCCGCCTAAGCTTTTATATTTTTCCACATATGATGAGAATGAAAACAGAAAAAAATTAGTTGACAGTCTATTATTCTCATTGTTGCACTTAATAATCAATCTATCTATCGTTCTATCTCATTCTGTTCATATCTATCTATCTATCTATGTTCATTATCTATCGATCTCAGTCTGTTCATTATCTATCTAGCTATTATAATTATGTATCTATCTCAGTCTGTTCATTATCTATCTATCTATCTATCTGTCTATTTCTCTATATATGTATGTATGTATATCTTTCTGTCTAGTTCAATCTGTTTATATCTATCTATCTATTTCATTCTGTTCATATCTATCTATCTATCTATCTATCTATCTATCTATCTATCTATCTATCTATCTATCTCAGCCTTCATTATCTATCTTGTCAAAGTAAAACTGTAACCGGCGTTTCTTGTATTCCTTTTTCAACCCATATATTTATTATTCCATCGAAACCATTATTAGTCTGAAAACGCCTTTTCAAGGACGAATCGCGTAACGTGAGATTTTTTTTCATTTCGTCATTCAATTACCCCTATAATCTGGTATATAATTTTGTATATCATATTTTCCCTATCTGTTTATGCAATCCTGTCTCTATCTATCTATCTATCTATCTATCTATCTATCTATCTATCTATCTATCTATCTATCTATTTTTACGAAATGGATTTAAATTAACACGCATTAATATTAACACTATCACTCAGACTCACTAGAAAACAAATTGCCCCTTTATTCTATTGGTATAGTAAGTCGAAGGGTGCACATTCTACGCATGCCCCACCAAAATATTACCATGCCCCACTGATGAGGTATGCGCCTCACATTGGGAATCACTGCCCTAGGATAATTCGTCGAAAAAATTAATTTCTAACATTTTCCCATTTTATTTATTTATTATTTATTTTATTTTTTCGTTTGATTCAAAATTCATAAAGCTGCAACACTTCACATTTAAACTTGATCTTAATCCTTTTGAGTCATAATTTACTCGGGATACAATCGTCCTTACATACTTTATGCCCCTGACCTCCTCCCAGTACGATTACTGGAGATGGATCATTATGAATTATTGGATATACTGTGAGATGCTTCCATTTTGATTATTTGAATTCATCCTTAATACTAAAAAAAAAAAAAGAAAAATTAATCTCCATTTCTTTATATAATCAAAATTGTCAAATATTTTATTTCTTAGCTGGCGATTGTTTTTAGCAAGAAATTCGAACTTGGTGATGAAGAGTTTTTAATATTCAGATGACATATGATTTTTACGCGACACAAACATCACCTCTCAGGACCGGTGCAAGGGTCTCATGACCCCACACATCCCCCACCCACGAATCTATGATACGAAACCCCACACACTCTAATACATCACAATTTTCATAAGGTAATATTCATATAGAATAGAAATTATATTGCAACATGATTTTGTACAATAATGGAACATAAGAGATGCAGAATTCAAATAGAAAAATTGTAAATAAATACAATGTATCTAAATACAAATTAGAGACATGTAATAATAGATCATTCCATCTTAAATAAATCAACACTGTTTTGCGACAGTTTTTAATATTGACTTGAGATTTTTCTTGCTAAAAAGTTGAATAATTTTAACACGTTCAACATTACATATAAAAAATAGTGATTTTTTTTCGAGACTTAGCATGAACGAAACAATTCACGGATTTGGACAACAATAAAAAAATCCAGAATAACTTCAAAATCCGCGAATTTTTTTTTTCTTTGATAGTCAGTTGTGCTTAGTTTAATTTGTAAATGTATATAAATGCAGATAGAAAATAGCAAATGTTGATAAGATTGCGAGGGTCAAAAAGCACTACCCGGACCCAAAATCAGGCTTGCCCCCACCGGTTCCGGGTGGGAGGGGAGTAAGCACCGGCCCTGCACCGTGGCACACACTGGGATGTCGTGACCCGAGGTTGAAATTTTCTCTTAACGAAATAGGAATTTGAATAAAATTGTATTAAACGGCAAAATGAAAATTATCAGTTCTGCAATCTTAATGTCCCCCACCCTAACGCCTCTTTTCCTCGTGAAAATATTAAAGAATTTTTAGTTTAATACGAACTTTAAAATGCTTTGAAGATCTTAAATAAAAACAACGATAATCAAAATCGTGAGTGCTATGTTCTTTCCCTTTGCTTCCATATGCGCTGTGCAGTCATTTCTTTGTTTATGAGATATGCGTCTGGCGTAAAATGTTCTTAGCAAATTGTCGTAATTGACGGAGTTCGATAAATTCAAATAATTTTGATGTCGTTTACTTCATAGACTCTTTTGCACGCAATACAAACATCGCCTGTGATAATTTGCCAGTGGAAGGGTTAGGGTTTGAACGGGAATTTTTATATAAGTTTAAGGAGCATAAGACAAAATAATCGTGCTGAGAAGGAAATTATTTGAATTTTTTTTGTTTTGTTATTTTAGCAGCATACCAAATCCTTATTCGTTATTTAATGCCGAAACCTAATTTTCTTGAGATTATTACTAATTTCTTTTACAAAAAATGTATTGCTGGTAATATTTTTTTCCTTACAGAAATGTATTGCTGGTAATTTTTTTACTATGAAAATGTATTACCGGTATTTTTACTATAAAATTTTTAATACTTTCATAGTATTTTGACCCCAGATTTCGGGGGTTCACTATTTGCCCATAGCTGTGACCCTAACTGGTGCTACCACCCCGGGTCAGAGTGGACCTGGGAACAAAAGCAATTAAGATGTGGTTCCACGCTCCTCAATACTTCCCGATCAGAGACCTTGCTACCGGATATAGTTTATCGTCATACCTAGGGCGGAAAAAGTAATAAGCATCCCGTTCCAATATAAGCCCCGTGCTTATGGGGGTGAGGGAATAATTGCCGGCATTTGCATCTGGTACACAAGAGTATGACATATGATTTATAATATTTGTTAGTCTCAAAATGTTGTATCAAAATTATCAATTTTGCTTACTTCTCTTTACTCTTAACGTGTGATCTAAATGCTAAGGTCATTTCCAGTTTCAGATAGAAAATGGTTTTATTTGGATAATGTTTTAAATGTCATGTCCCTTCTAAACGTAGGCGACCACGGCTCTTCGCAGATTCCTTTTTGTTTTTACTTGCTTTCTTGGAAAAGAATATGGAGTGCCCCCTCACTCCGTTGCCTTTTCCACAGTTTGGAATTCAGTGTTTTCCTTTTCTTAGATTGGTTGCCAACCACCAAAGGCTGACGAGTCCAGTGTACTCTGTTATCTAACTCATAGCTATGAGAGAAGACATGAATTCATAGCCATACCATTGCCAAGGACATTTGCTTGAAAGTGTACGCAATGGTTCACCGGTTTCACGTTCTGCGCCGAAAACTGCTACGCTACACGTACATTAGTTGGATAATAAAGATTTTAATCATAAGAATTTAAGCCATCATCACAAAAGCTTACTTATAAAGATCACAAAAGACAAGACTGGATATTTTTTAAATCTGATTTAAAAACCGTATATGAAAATTAGTTATCTCCATTAAGTAAGAAGTTGGAACGGGCAACTAAATTTTTATTTAATTAATATTCCGATCGGACACGCACAGAAACTTTTTACCTCGGCGTGGTGTAAGGGTTAGCAAGCTTGTTTCGCTAGATCAATTACAACCGAGTAGTGAGCTTGATCCTCACTGGGTACACCATACTTTCAGCCTTGTGCCACATCTAAACTACACTTAGAAAATCATTTATACTTACTGACACAACCAGGGAAGTTTCAAAAATATTAAGCCCAATCTTTAGGTGAAAGAGGCTGTACCTCTCCTTCGGGAGAGGACTGGGTTTATTGCCCAGCACCTGAGGTGTCCCCAAAAAGGGAAGTACCGAAGGAGGTTCGGTAATTTTTTCACAATATTGCCGGTAAACCCATTTTAAATTTTGACCGTGTGTCACATTCGATAGGGACGTGGGAGCGCTGAAAAATCGCCATACAGACACTTTGAGCTTTACATATTAATTTTGAAAGCAACCATAGCTTTTTTAAACGTGTGCAAAAATCAACATAGGACATTGGTAAGAAACACACTATTATTTCAATCACAAAGCAGGTACCCACTGGGCCAAAACACGAGCGGTAATTTTTTGTTTTTTAATATGCATCCATTTTTTTTTCAATTTTCCGAATATTTTCTAATAAAGCCAAATATCCTTCCTTTTCAAGGTTATCGTCAGTCTGTGAAGCACGAACCCAGTGTGAATAATTTGCAATGTCATAACTCTAACCACAGCAATCCGTTTTACTAAACCGAAATAAAGTCGCAAGATGAGAATCTTGTTTGCAATGCTTTTATCTTATCAACACCGAATTCCTTTTACTAATGTTTTGGGGAAAGGATCAGAATAATCCTTTATTTCAAAGAACTGCTTTTGAAAAAGCAATAGTCTGGAATAATGCTGATCAATAAGTTCCATTTATTTTGACTCTCCATGATAAACAAACTCGCAGACTATAACTAGTTTGATCCC